GTCTCAGGTTGGTTTCTGCAACCCAGAGACAGATAATGAAGCAAGTTGGAAGTGCAGTGTGAGAAACCCTACTGCACTGGGAGACATTCGTATGGACAATGCAGAGCAACAATTTGGTTATCTAGTGATATTTGCAATTTTGTGTTAATCAGTGCAGTAGTGAGTAGACACAGTTCCAGTAAATTATTCACAGTGGTAATCCTCTGATAAGCTCCACTGGTTACCAGCAACAATTGTATAGTGGTTGGGGGAACTTTACCTGTGAGATTTTGTTTTAAATATTTCATGATTTTTATTTATTCAATTATTTATGTTGGAATTTTCTTGTTAAATTACTTATCTTCAAGTGGTCTGTGTAGGATAAATTTCTCCCACCAATAAACTCCTCACATAGCAGGGAGGGTTTCTGATTAAATTTTACTACACCGTAATTAAACAGTTAGCGCATTATTAAATTCCATTAAACCATAACTAAATGGATAATGGTGAAATTTCCATAAATTGAAGTGTCATTAATTAGTAATTAAGAATGGTTAGTATAACTAAAGTTTTAGTCAGCTTATTTGACTTGAAGGCTGCGACAGTCAAATTGGTCAGATGTGGTACACACGAGTTCCCTCTTCCAGAGGGTATAGACTCATTCCTCTCCATGTTTGCTGATGATGCAAAAATTATGAGAAGAATCAAGACAGATGATGATAGACAGAGACTACAGGACAACCTGGGCAAGTTGGAGGAATGGTCTATGAAATGGCTACTAAAGTTCAACTCAGGAAAGTACAAAGTAATGAAATTAGGCGAAGGAAGCAGAAGGCTGAACACAAGGTACCATCTGGGAGGTGAAATCTTGCAAGAGTCAAATAGAGAGAAAGATTTGGGGGATGATATCACACTGAACCTGTCCCCAGAGGTCCACATCAAAAGGATATCATCAGCGGCATATGCTAGACTGGCCAACATAAGAACTACCTTTAGAAACTTATGTAAAGAATTGTTCAGGACCCTGTATACAACTTATGTCAGACCAAACCTGGAATATGCAGCTCCAACTTTTTGTACATACCTAGTTATACACATGACAAAGTTAGAGAAGATTCAGCGGTATGCCACCAGACGCGTCCCGGAACCGAGAGGTATGAGCTACGAGGAAAGGCTAAAGAAGCTGAAACTCACGTCCCTGGAAGACAGAAAAGTAAGGGCAGACATGATAACTACCCACAAAATTCTCAAGGGAATTGACAGGGTGGACGAAGATGAACTCTTTGGCACGGGTGGAACACGAACAAGGGAACACAGGTGGAAACTTAGTACCCAAATAAGCCACAAAGACATTAGAATTTTTTTTTCAGTGTCAGAGTAGTTAACAAATTTAATGCACTAGGAAGCGATGTGGTGGAGGCTGACTCCATACACAGGTTATAATGTAGATATGATAGAGCCCAGTAGGCTCAGGAATCTGTACACCAGTTGATTGACAATCGAGAGGCGGGACCAAAGAGCCAAAGCTCAACCCCTGCAAGCACAACTAGGCGAGTACGAGTCGGTCCTGTTAAAGCAAGCAAGTACCTGTAATTACCATAAAGAAGGCCTCGTAGCCTGGTGGATAGCGCGCAGGACTCGTAATTCTGTGGCGCGGGTTCGATTCCCGCACGAGGCAGAAACAAATGGGCAAAGTTTCTTTCACCCTGAATGCCCCTGTTACCTAGCAGTAAATAGGTACCTGGGAGTTAGTCAGCTGTCACGGGCTGCTTCCTGGGGGTGGAGGCCTGGTCGAGGACCGGGCCGCGGGGACACTGAAGCTCCGAAATCATCTCAAGATAACCTCAAGGCACCAAGCCAGGAAGGCTATGTAGCACATAAGCAATAGTGTCGTCTCTTTGGTGACACCGTCTCAACATGAATGACAAAGTTTCTCACAATTCGTGTGGTCCCAACTCCCGCCTGTTGACACGTTACAATGTAGCCAGGCACACAAATTGTTTTATTGTTATTTAATGAATGTAACTCATTCAAGTCAAGTGATAAAGGACACTAACCACTCTGGGCTGAGAGTCTTGCTCCCTAACCACCAATACCCTCCTAATACATACCTTAATTGATCAATCAGATATAATACGGTAAAGACAGAAATGGGATGCACTTTCCTGTTTGATGTCATGGTCACAAATGCTCCGAATTCATAGGTATCTCTTAATTTTAGATACCATCAGTGTGCTCGGTGTACCACGACCAGGGTAACATGTGCTAATATGGCATCTACCTCACCTCCCACACTGGCCTCATTTTCTATTACAAGGCACAGTATATTAATATTTATTTATTAGGAAAGTGTGGGTGTAGACTTATATTATTTAATATTCTAATTAAATGAATTTAAGGAAACGTAATTCAGCACTCGGACTGCATGCTTGAAGAATTTATATAAAGACATAAGTACGCCTGACATGTTATATTTATTGAGATACAATTTCGCTTTTTCTCCACAGAGAATGAAGAATTTAATCATGATGGTTCTTATTCGTATATTTTTAGTTTTATTAAAATTTCTACCACAATAGAAATAAAATTTCTTAGTGTATTTATAATAGTATAAAATATATGTAAAATATGTGGGATATTTTCCTACAGTGGTAATCTCTAGGTAACAGCCACACAGTACTGCTATGATGAACAGTGAGGAGTGTGGGATTCTTATTACATCACTTGTGCACCTGCAGTCACCGGCAGGTAGTCTGGATTTGTGCCAAGCCTTCAATGTACCAAACCCTGCCTGTGAGTGGATGACAAACACCAGCATCAACAGTGAGTGTGTGGAGAGCACTCCAGTTTCCCATGAAATTACCCAACATAAGAACTACCTTTAGAAACGTATGTAAGGAATTGTTTAGGACCCTGTATGTAACTTATGTCAGACCAATCCTGGAATATGCAGCTCCAGCTTGGGGTCCATACCTAGTTAGACACAAGACAAAGTCAGAGAAGATTCAGCAGTCTGTAGTTACAGGCCGAGAGCTCTTCTCATGGTGTCCCGTCTTCCCAGCACTCTTTTTTCATATAATGCTTTGAAACTATTGACTGTTTTGACCTCCACCACCTTCTTACTTAACTTGTGCCAACCATCTATCACTTTGTTTACAAAAGTGAGCTTTCTTACATTTTCTCGGCAACTTGTTTCCTTAGTTTGAATCTACACTTTCTTCTTAAAATTGCCGTTTTCAAATATTCTTTGTCAGTTTTATCGATTACTATTACTATTTTGTAAGCAGTGATTCGTCTCTCTTTTTCTTCTATCTTCTAACTTTGATATATTCAAGGCCTGTAACCTCTTCGGAGCTCTTATTTTTCATTTCCAGAAGCCTAGTTTAGTTTTTTCTAGTTTAGTGATGGTATTAAGATATGGGCACCGTACCTTGACAACACATTAGAGCAGCACAACCAACAGTTACCTCACTGGAGCCAGGACTTTGTTGTGTAGCTAAGTAACATTCCCTCCCCTTTACCCCTTGAGATAGTAGTGTTCCCAGGGACAATTTAGGCTTCAGTGCAATTTCAGTGACCATTGACATTAGTGATTATTTTTGCATATTTTGATTGCATTACTTCTGAGACAACTAGTGAGAATTAGTGGCATTCATTTATTTTTGTTATGATTTCAAGTACAGTACAGTACTGTACTTGCCAAGTTGATGTACACCTCCCTGACCTTTCATCTGAGTTTAGACTCATTCATTCCTTTGTGACACTCAATAAGATCTTGTGAAGTAACAAAGTTTTGAGTTTAGAGCCAAGGCAGCCTAGCGAGTAGTCAGTCGACTAGGCATTTGAATTCCCACTTAAGAGGAGGCTTCTAACCTAACACTTGTATTTGTTTTTCTTTTAATTAAATATAATTTCATAAATGCTATTTTTTTGTTTCTTCTCTCTGTTACTTATATACTGACTCTGTAGAGCCCGAGTTATTTTTGTCTACTGCACATTGTGGAACACACACGTGAAGGAGAGGCTAGGCTAGAATATGTTCCAGCAGACATTGTGAGGCAATGGACCTGTTCTGGAGCTGATGTGTATCGCAGCAGAACTAACTGCTAGTCCAAACCAGTTGAGAGAGCCTGCAGTGCCACTGCCAGTGTAATACCAAGGCCGAGTGCCTATGTAAATCTGCAAGAATTTAACAGGTTTCCTATCCTCCCATTTATATTTGGTGGATGCCCGAGGTGCAACTGAGGAGAATTTTGTTGGAGTATGTGGTGTGCACAAAGTGTGGAAGCTCAGGTACCCAGATTCACGAGTCACTGGGGACCTGCTGCAGAGAAGATTTCTGCGAGTAGAACGGGTAATCGCCAGAGGTATGTCACCGAGTCTCACCACTCTACTCCGCCACTCTCTTGGGGTGCTGTGTTAGTCAAGTCCTCAGCATCCCACGTGTGAAGAGCCCCTCCGCCCCCACGTTGCAGAGGGAAAATGTACAATACCTTGCACCCAGATTAAGATGATTGATATCAAATGTGAATCTAGCTTATTGCTTATTAAAATACAGTTTGATGCAAAGCAAATTACGTATACAGTGGCACCTCGATTATCGAGTTTAATCCATTCCGGCACCGAGCTCGTCATGTGGAAAATTCGTCTTGCGAAACAACAAAACTGTCGTAAAAGGTGTCCGAGAACCAGCGGAAACGCTCGTTAATCGAGGAGAAGCTCATTAGTAGAGACAAATGTTCAGCGAGTGGCTTGCTCGTTACTCGAAACGAGCGTAGATAGAACCGCTCGTTAATCGAGGTGCCACTGTACTTTGTTTATGCATACTCAGTGTTTTATTCAAAATCTGACAAAGTTACTTCCTTTAATATTAACTTTGTTAATCACATCCCTAACTTCTTATCAAGGCTTACATCTAAATAAATATATAAAAGATAACACCCAAGAGATACATTCTACAAATACAATACTTAAGTTAGCTCAATTCTAGATCTTTGATCTTTGGTAAAGCAAAAACAATATTTTTTTATGTCAAATTTTGTAATTTTATTAATATTCATTTTGACACACCATGCATTCTCATTCTCTCTCACAAACAAATATATACAGTATATGTATTGTATTATACATACTAAAATAAGTATTTTAACATTATTTCCTTTCACATAACCTCATAAAAGAAGTGACATGTAATTATATCCAATCTTGCCGAGATAACAAAGTACAACCTGCATCATTCATATGTTACTTATGCCCAGTTTTTCAGCTTGTTCCAGTGCACTTTTTAAATACTCGTCAAAAAGTTCACATCTAATGGGCATTTCTAAAGAGTAGAATGGGTTCTTGAGGGCATAATCCGAGTAGATCTCGTACACACGGTGAAGGAGGCCATCAATCCCGGTCTGTTTGTTGTCAGATATCACCATGAACTTAACTCCTGAAAAATATCAAACCAGTGTTGAATGTAATGAAATGCCAATTTCTGGGTGAGCCCTAGTGGCTCCCTGAAGCTACCATCTGTGATGTAGGAGCCATCTAACAGGTATCATTAGTCATGGAGTTCTCCGACTTACCGGACACCTAGAGCCAGAACCTGGTCCCCTCACAGACGTGCAGGGAGCTGTGATATTTATATATCAAGTTTTTCATTTATGCCACCACTGAGGAAGACACCTAGAAAGTCAACAAGTCAAATCAAACCACAGTTGTCTGCCTCCAAGACCTGCACACTTAAAAACACCAATACAACTCCCAAATAAACTATGTAAACAAATGACCGAAAATATTACAAAACTAGCGCCCGCTCGTTCACCCCCCCCCCCCTTCCTCCTCATTTTGGGAGTGGAGGGGGTCAGGCCACGAATCACAGGCCACTCCACCATCAGTTCAATGAATGATTTAAGAACCCTACTCCCTGGGATGGGAGGTTGTCAAAGAGCCACCAGGACTCGCCCAGAAATTGTCATTTTCATTACAATCAATGCTGGTTTTCTTGGGGTAGCCCATTGTGGTTCCCCATTGCTAACTACTTATGGAGAAGGAATAAAGAATCACTAACCCGGGAGGAAGGAGTACCACAGGTATCAGAACGAAGAAGTGACAGTAGGTTGAGGAAGCCTACTGAAGGGTACACAGGGGCGCTGAGGCTCAGGAACTAACCAATCCTCTTACAAAGAACGTTGCTTTTCTCTTGTTTGCGTTACATAAAGCTAAAAATTTTTGTACTGTACTAGTAAATGGAAGTGACACAGAGTGGAGGTCAAACCAGCAAAGAATGTCACTTGACTGACTCTTTGGAAGAGGCGGAGCCTTAGAAAAACAACCAGGTTTGGACACCGAGCAAGCAGTGCCAGAAACCACGGTGGGCTGGCCACCAAGGAGACAGAAGGATCACCTACCCTTCGTAGGACTCCATCCGTACCATGACCCAAAGTAACAGCTGGACCAGGGGGGGAAAATTTACAGAAACCCCCCCACCTTGACCAGTCCAGCTGAAAGGCATCTACATTAATGGTCTCACAGTAGGGAAACAGCACAGCGTAACAGGGAAGACACCAAGACCAAGATAACATGAAGAGTTCCACATCCGGGCACCTGAACATCTTGCAGAGCCAGAGAAAGAAGGCGGCATTGACAGTCCACTCTATGGAGATGGGATGAAACTGGGACAGACTGCCAGCAAGGATGTTAGATACTCCCAGAACATTTATGGCACAGAAAGCCAAACCCCGAGAACCTAGAAAAAGAGCTAAATGCAACGTCCAGCTCCAAAGAGGTAGAGACTGAAGTGAACCCCCCATGTAGAGACAGTGAACCACTGAGTAGCTGGACTATGGAGCCTGGAGGAAACAGAATCCTCAGCAGCACTTGCCACATGGCCGCAAACTCCTGTACCGTACTGTAAGCCCGATGAAGGAGGGGAGACCAATGCCCCTGACCAGCTTGATGATCACTGGTGACAAAGCCCCAGCCGAGAGCCGAGGTGTCGGTAAACGCCTTTCTCTGCCCACACTAGACGTCATTATGTTAAACGTGGGCAGAGGAAAGTGCCAGGGGACTGAACTACAAAAACCCATAAGAAGCAGCTGGCAACACAACAGACGATGTAGGGCCAGCGGAGTCCACAATCAGCAGTCATGGAAGCGACAAAAGGTGCGTGCCCCATAGGAACTAGTACATCCTCTGAAGCCAAACTCTGCCCAGGAAAAACCATGGAGAGCAAAGGTAAAGCTCGGGTACAGCCACTCGAGCAACCACTGAGGCACCTGGGGCCGAGTCAACATCAACAAATGAGGCAATACAGCTGGGACACAGCCGCCGGAGGAAGGGGGAGAACCATGCCAATCCAGAATCTCCTAACAAGGCCCAACCAAGTCTGAACCCGGGCCGGAACCAACTGGGACTTCCGCCAACCTACCCGTAACCCGAACCAGGCGAGATGGTTGAGAACCTGGCTAGGGTAGAAACAAACCAGCTGGGAGCCTACACCAGCCAGTTGTCGACATAGGCCAAAAACCGAACATCTAAGAGACGAAAACGTGTCACCACAACCTGAGCCAAGTACGTGAAAACAGGTGGAGCCAGATTGAGGTCATATGGGAGGACCCAGAAGCGGTAAGTCTACATGCCCCACAACAAATTCTAACCAATCCCTAAACACCAGACAGATAGGGATATGCCAGTAAGCGTCCCAGAGGTCTAGGAATAACACCCCAGCGTCCAGCTCAAGATGGGCCTGGGACAGAGTGGTCATCCAGAAAGAGGGGGCAAGGAATAAACCGGTTCACCAGTTCGCAAATCGGTTGCAAACAGTCGAGAATGAATTGGAGATCTAGAGAATCTCATTCCAGGACCATAAAAAGGCTGAAACCCACCGAAGAGGCGTGGCCATTCCGACTACAGTACATCCGAAGCCACCAACTGGAGATGAGCCAACAGAGACATGGAGAAGAAGCCTGTCTGAAAAGACATGAACCCCTGAAAGAAGGTGGGAACAACCAACTCCACAGAAGGTTGACAGAAACAACCAACTCCGCAGAAGGTTGACAGAAACAACCAACTCCGCAGAAGGTTGACAGAAACAACCAACTCCACAGAAGGTTGACAGAAACAACCAACTCCACAGAAGGTTGACAGAAACAACCAACTCCACAGAAGGTTGACAGAAACAACCAACTCCACAGAAGGTTGACAGAAACAACCAACTCCACAGAAGGTTGACAGAAACAACCAACTCCACAGAAGGTTGACAGAAACAACCAACCCCACAGAAGGTTGACAGAAACAACCAACCCCACAGAAGGTTGACAGAAACAACCAACCCCACAGAAGGTTGACAGAAACAACCAACCCCACAGAAGGTTGACAGAAACAACCAACCCCACAGAAGGTTGACAGAAACAACCAACCCCACAGAAGGTTGACAGAAACAACCAACTCCACAGAAGGTTGACAGAAACAACCAACTCCGCAGAAGGTTGACAGAAACAACCAACTCCGCAGAAGGTTGACAGAAACAACCAACTCCGCAGAAGGTTGACAGAAACAACCAACTCCGCAGAAGGTTGACAGAAACAACCAACTCCGAAGAAGGTTGACAGAAACAACCAACTCCGCAGAAGGTTGACAGAAACAACCAACTCCACAGAAGGTTGACAGAAACAACCAACTCCGCAGAAGGTTGACAGAAACAACCAACTCCGCAGAAGGTTGACAGAAACAACCAACTCCGCAGAAGGTTGACAGAAACAACCAACTCCGCAGAAGGTTGACAGAAACAACCAACTCCGCAGAAGGTTGACAGAAACAACCAACTCCGCAGAAGGTTGACAGAAACAACCAACTCCACAGAAGGTTGACAGAAACAACCAGAAAGGCATCAGCAAACTGGGCTAACTGCCCCCATCAACAGGGTTATCTTGAGGTTATTTTGAGATAATTTCGGGGCTTAGTGTCCTCGTGGCCCGGTCCTCGACCAGGCCTTCTTTTGTTACACATCCCCCAGGAAGCAGCCTGTAGCAGCTGTCTAACTCCCAGGTACCTATTTACTGCTAGGTAACAGGCAGAAAAGAAACACTTAGCCCAATTGTCTCTGCTTCCACCGGGGATCGAACCCGGAACCTCAGGACTATGAATCCGAAACGCTGTCCACCCAGCTGTCAGACGCCCTGGAGGGTCAGCGCGAATCCTGAGAAACAACTACTGGCTCCACAAATGGCCCACCTTGACCAACACCAGGCACAGCCTCCACCCACCCAGATTGGCTCCCCCTAGTACAAAGAAGGTCCTGAATAGGCTGACAAGGACTAACCAAGCCACTTCATCCTCCAAAAAGAGAAGTAGAGAAAAAAGTTAGGCAGAAAGAAGGGTGAGGACTCATGCTTAATCTAAAGAACGACCCAGCACAGCCTGTTGACACTTGAGCCGCACAGAGTAGAACGTGGCCACAGCATCCCACAAAATAGGAGTACAGTGGGGCCTCGATTTACGATGGTAATCCGTTCCCAGAGACATATCGTAAGTCGAAGTGATTTTTCCCATAAGAAATAAAGGGAATTGAATTAATTCGTTCCCCCACCCTCAAAAATATTAACTTACAAATACATTTTATACTGAATACAATTTTTTTCTCTAACTACAATACAGTACATATGTTTATTTACCTTTATGGAGGACTCTTGATGCGTATGGAAGATGGTGAGGAGGGGGGAGGAGGAGAGGTGTTATTGTTTGGAAGGGAAGTCCCCTTCCATTATAACATCAGGCAGTAATGCCTTCTTTGAGGCGGACTGTCTCCTACGTTTTGCCTGCATACCACTAGGACCTGGTAGTGGTTCACTCCTTGTTTGTCTCACTAAAAACCTTTCCATAGATTTTTGTTTTTCCATCCCTTTTAATTTTTGTCTGTAGTGAGGCATCACAGTGTCATTAACCTTTAAGTTGCGCAACACATCATATGATGTATTGGAGTACTACGCAAGATTTAAATGGCCCGCGGATACACAAGGTTCACCTAACCTTCATCAGGGCTCTTGTAAACAGACGCCATTTTCTTTTTAAATCGTGGGCCAAATTTCGGGGTGTGAGGGCCTCAGTATTGAGTGAGCCACCAAGCCTGACACACGCAGCATGAGCTTACGGCACTGCTGTTCAGCTTGTGACCACAGCATCGTCTAAAAACCAGCATTGAATGTAATGAAACGCCATTTTCTGGGTGAGTCCCGGAGGCTCCCTGGAGCTTATCGGGCTAATGTATGTTATATTAGACCGGGACATTAGCTAAGGAGTTCAGACCTACCAGGGACCAGCGCCAGAACCTGGCCCCTTCAGAGAGGTTTCAGGGAGCAATGGCCCTGGAAAACCCCCTTGTGGTTGGGGTTTTCCTTATCTGCCATCAACTGGGGTTAGGCACCCAGAGAGGTAGGCATGACAAAACAA